CCAGCCAGACCCCCAGCACGGCGGGCTGCCTGCCAGTGGGGGACACCCTCAGCTCCCCAGCGTGCTGTGGGCAGAGCTGAGGGGTGATGGAGATGGTTGGCACAAGGCGCTGCAGGGTGGGAGGAGATGGAGGGGGCCTGGGGAGTGGTGGCACAGCTGGGGACACAAGCCCTGTCCTGCCAGGGGCACTGGAGGATGGCGTGAGGCTGTGGGAGCCCGGGCAGCCGTGGCTGTGCCGTGGCCGGTGTTTAACACTCTCTCTTGTCTTGCGCAGAGCTGGGGTGCTGGGCCAGGGTCCAGTCCATCTGTGTCTCCCTTCTCAAGGTGCCCCTGATGTTCGGGTTCCTGTACCTCTTTGTGTGCTCCCTGGACGTGCTCAGCTCTGCCTTCCAGCTGGCAGGAGGTAGGGTGGCAGGGGCACCCAGGCAGCTGGTGGCACCCACCATGCCGGCACCCTGCCGCTCACGCTCTCTTACAGGCAAGGTGGCCGGGGACATCTTCAAGGACAATGCCATCCTCTCCAACCCTGTGGCTGGGCTGGTGGTGGGCATCCTGGTGACTGTGCTGGTGCAGAGCTCCTCCACCTCCACCTCCATTATCGTCAGCATGGTCTCCTCAGGGCGTGAGTACACCCATGGGGCTCCCGGGAACCTGAGGCTGGGGGACGGGGTGGCTGGATGAGGTCACCCCAAGCTGGGCCATGCAGGGCTAGTAGGTGCCTCTGTCCCCAGTACTGGAGGTGCGCTCTGCCATCCCCATCATCATGGGCTCCAACATTGGCACCTCCGTCACGAACACCATCGTGGCCCTCATGCAGGCTGGTGACCGTAGTGAGTTCAAACGGTGAGAGCTGGTCGGGGCAGAGGGGGCTTAGGGTGCTGGGGGCTGCTCCCCGGGGGCCACCCCATGCCAAAGGGCTCCTCCGCACAGGGCCTTCGCTGGTGCCACGGTGCACGACTGCTTCAACTGGCTGTCGGTGCTGGTCCTGCTGCCGCTGGAGGTGGTGAGCGGGTACTTGCACCATGTCACCCACCTGGTCGTGGCCACCTTCAACATCCGCAGCGGGAAGGATGCCCCTGACCTGCTGAAAATCATCACGGAGCCCTTCACCAAACTCATCATCCAGGTCTCCTCGGGCTGGCTGTGCTGTCCCCCAGGGTGGTGTCCCCAGCCTGCTGGTGATGTCCTCACCACTGGTGGTTGTGTCCAAGTGTCCCCAGGCTGGCAGTGGCGTCCCCATCTGAGTGAAGAGGTCCACAAGCTGGGGGTGCTGTCAGCCCCCAAGGGCCCTCTCCAAGGTGTGTTTTGTTGCAGCTGGACAAGTCGGTGATCACGGGCATTGCAACGGGGGACGAGAGTCTGCGCAACCGGAGCCTCATCCGCGTCTGGTGTGGCCCCACACCCCCACAGGTGAGGTGCCCATGGCCCTGCTGAGGCCACCAAACGATTCCAAGGAGGGTGGGTGGTGGGCAGGGGCTGACCGAGGATGCTGTGGAGCTGGCTGCAGCCCGCCTTCTCCCCGCCATGGGCCTTGGCCCCCCCCCAAACTGCACGGCCCCTGGCCACTGCAGCACTAAGGGCATCGAGACCCTCCACAACATCACGAGGCAGAAGTGTGAGTGGGTGTGGGGGACTTGGGCAGGGCTGGGGGCACAGGACACAGGGCTGGGGAGGTGCAGATGAGGCTGAGGGGCTTTATGTGGGATTGAGGGCTGCTGGGCATGGGGCTGGAGTCATGATGTGGGACAGGACTGGGAGATGTTGGGGCTGGGGCCCAGCTGTGGGGTTGTCTGGGGGAGGGGCGGGTTTGTGAGTGGTGCCAGCCCCACGCCCCTCGCCTAGCCTTGCTGTGGGGCAGGCGAGCACCTCTTCACCGACACACCGCTGCCCGACCTGGCCGTGGGGCTGGTGCTGCTGGCCGGGTCCCTCGTCGTGCTCTGCACCTGCCTCATCCTCCTGGTCAAACTCCTCAACTCCCTGCTCAAGGGGCAGGTGGCCAAAGCCATCCAGAAGGTTATCAACACTGGTGAGTGGGATGGGGACCACTGCAGGGTGAGTGGGATGGGACCCTGCCTGCCACCCAACCCCATCTCCACCCTCAGACCTATCCCTGGCTGCCCTTAACACCCATTCCTGCCTGACCCCCAAGTCCCCTGCCTGCCCCTGATCCCCACTCTGCTAATGACTGCCATGGCCTCCTGGTGTCCACATCCTCCTTCCCCAGCCATCCTGGCCACCAGCCACCAAGCCTGACCCCATACCCCAAGCCTGACCCCATACCCAGAGCCTGGCTGGACAACCCCTTCCCCAGCACCATGTAGAAGCTCTGGGCTGCTCCCAGCTGATGTGTCCATGCTCACGTCCATGCTTGTGGCCATGCCCATGCCTGTGGTCATGCCGTGGCAGACCTTCCGCACCCGCTCAGCTGGCTCACCGGGTACTTTGCCATGGTGGTGGGTGCTGGGATGACCTTCGTGGTGCAGAGCAGCTCTGTCTTCACCTCGGCTATCACACCCCTGATCGGTGAGTCCTGGCCAAGCCTGGTCCCCTCACATGATGGCCTGTGGGTGCTGGGGCACTCAGAGGGGCAAAAGGAGCTATGCCTCCCTGGGAGAGTGTGGGGACAGTGCTGGCGAGGAGCAATGGGACAGGACGGGGTACGTCTCCCACAGGCCTGGGGGTGATTAGCATCGAGCGTGCCTACCCACTCACCCTGGGCTCCAACATCGGCACCACCACCACTGCCATCCTGGCTGCCCTGGCCAGCCCAGGGGACAAGCTGGCCAGCTCCTTCCAGGTATGGGCAGCCCGGGGCCATGGCTGGGATGGCAGGTGGCACCAGGCAAGACAGAGGCTTGCCTGACCTGACAGGGATGCCATTCCTGCAGATCGCCCTCTGCCACTTCTTCTTCAACATCTCTGGCATCCTGCTGTGGTACCCGCTGCCCTTCACCCGCCTGCCCATCCGCATGGCCAAGGCGCTGGGTGAGCG